TTTCCCTTGATGGCATTCATATACACTTTTAATTATAAATTATAGCCTAAAATTCTAACCCAACCCTAAAAACAAAAACACCCTAAAAATTTTAATACTTGTTTATTATAAAACCTACCCCTAAACCCTAATCCTAACCCTAAAAACATGCTAAAAAAGTGCACCCTAAAAATTTGTATTTTTCGGTGGCTTGTCTATTTTACACTATTTCTCATTTCATTTTAATCTGATTTCATTTTAATCCGTCACAAATATTATGGTCGATTCTGACGTTTTCCTTTTTCGTAGGTACTTTCTCGGATTGGATACCATGAACTCGGTTACGGTTCAACTTGGAGACAAATATGTAACATATCTCCTCAGGCGACGTTAAGGTACTGCATTATTTTATTATCATTGTTATTCTCAGCTTAATTATTTATCATTAACACCGAGAAAATGTAGTATCCGTGAATCAGCAGGCCATTCTCTAAAATCATCTGTGACACACACATTAATTCGTGACAAGCGCGATGACTCGATGTTGCCGTCACGGGGATACTACATAAAGCTCTTTCAGGTTTAAATCGATAGTAGAAGTTTCATAAACATTTATTTGAACATTCATCGTTATGGTTAACAATATGATACGAATAATAGGAGTTAGCTGGGTTAGGTGGCGACGTTAAATTTATTAAAAATGAAATAGAAAGTCAAATAAATTATCCACTTGGGAAGGGGTTTGTAAGTTATTTCTGTTTAATTTTCCAATGCTATTTTTATGAATTTTATTCTTATATAGTGGTTATACCCTAAAATAGATTTTTAGCGCATCATTAAGAAACGGATTTTTATATACTTTAAATGGCCAACAGTCAAAAATCTCTGATCGATTTTTCCTCGGTGGAGCTCAATCAATACGAGGATTCAAATTAAATGGCATTGGACCGAGAGAAGACAAAAGTGTGTAGTATTAACTTGTTTATTTATTGTTTATTCTCTATTAACTTTATTGGTACATGCTAGAGGATTCTCTGGGTGGAGATCTTTATATAGCAGGAGGTGCGAGTCTGTTTACTCCTCTTCCAAGGTTAAGTAAATACCCTGTTAAGGGTCATTTGTTCCTGAATGGAGGAAGTTTGATTCAAATGAATCCATGTGAGTATTAAATTTTGTGTTGTTTTTAATTATTTTTTATTTTGCTTGAATAAGATATAATAGTGGAGATTTGTGAGAGAATGAATTGATGGGTGCTCATAAATGCTATGCTGTTATTATCGTCTTTTATTAGCGCAACGACTTCTCTCTAGCGTCTTCAGTCTTACAAGAGCGCCTAGCGTGTCTACAGGCGTTGGGATCGTGTATCGAAGTAGCATTCTGCGATTAGAAGTGAATTTCTGTTTGCCATTGGTAGCAACAACAAGTGATAAGTTAAAAAAGGGACTGCAGTTGGGACTAGGGTTTAATTTTTGGTGAATTAAAGGAGACTAAAAGAACAGAAACGAGATTTCCTAAATAAATACATTAATGCACAAAATTGTTCGTACGTCTCGAATATAATTGTCATATATGTAATTTGAATTAGATATTAAACCAAGAATTTTTAAACGTTAACGCAGCAACATAAATCAATAAATTTCACGTTATAATGAAGTCATTGGGCTTAAAAAAAACATTATCGTTATAGCTTAGGCCGTGCAAAATTAATTGATTTTCATAACCCGGCTGGGTCAAAATTGGAAAATTGTAAAAAAAAATTTTTTTTAACGTTTTAATAAGTCCATGCAAACTTAATTGGTTTTCATAACCCGGCCGGGTTAAAATTTGAAAATTTGTAAAAAAAATTTTTGTATGTTTTACTGCTATTTTAAAAATTGACCGAATGGTACTCCAGCCGATTCGATTAAGTTTGTAATTTCGGAATAATAGATTCAATAAAAATATAAAATTGTACGTATGCACGTAAGTACGTACGTACGTACGTACGTAATTTTTACATTAGCAATTAAATAGTGCGAAAGTTTTAACAGCACTACAAGACTTTATATGTCAGCTTTACGAAATTTTTGGCCAACGCTATTTACATACAAATATTATATGCCAGAAACTTATAT